GGGGTTTAGGGTTTAGGGTTGAGATTTGTTTCTGGACGTTTGTCCACCCTGCTTTTGTCTTTTTTGACGTCCTTTCTCTACATGTTTCTCATATCTTCTAGGAAAGCAGAGAACAAAGTAAATGCGGGGAGATAGGAAAGAGACAGAAACGAAAAGGCAATGAATTGCAAGTCAACAAAGCAAAAAAGAAGACACATTGGATAATCATGCGGAATGTTTAGGAGAAGACTATGGAAAGAAAAGTATACGTAAAAAACAAATAAGCAAGCTGTGAATTTTTAGGAACAAGACAAAACCACGGGAACAAGACAAAACCACGGAACAACTTGCAGGAACTCTGTATTTGGACACCAAAGAATAACAACAACAAAAGGAAACACATCGAAAATCAGGGGTTTCTTTCATGTTTGTTTCCTACTTCCGAAGTCTTCTCTAGAGCTATCCTGCCTTTTGAATCCGGGGGTCGATTAAAGTTATCACCAGGTATGAGCTTTCTCCCTGGACTCTACCACTACTCCCTGGTTCTTACTAGGGAATGGGGGAATGGATCCCTGTAGCAGTCCCTATATAATCCTCATGATAAACCCTAAACCCTAAACGGGTTTAGGGTTTAGAATTTAGGGCTTAGGGTTTCTGCGCAAACGAAGCTTCGAGGCATTCCGGGCCGCACCCGTCTGGCTGCCGACCGAAGGCGCGACTTCAAGCCCTTGCTGTTCCGTGTCCACGGCAGTAGCCCCGAATGTATCAGGGCCCTGGGTTAGGGTTTTGGTGTTTACTCACCTTTGGTTAGTAGGGAATGGAGGAATGGGCTACAATTATAAATACTATTACTACCATTGTTCCATTCCCTACTAACTAAAGGTAAGTTAGGGACATTTAGTACTGTCTTTTCTAGACTAAACCCTAAACCCTAAACCCTGGTGCGTGTTTTCGATTGCTCGTGAAGGAAACCTAGGTCTTGCTTGGTATCAGAGACCTTTAGGCTTACCTCAAGAAACTGTACTACAGGGGCCGAAATAAATCTCAATACTATAATGGGCCCCAAAACCCTATTCTAATGACTGAGGCCGCCTGTAAGGACTGAAAAATTAGTCACATTGTACCCTGCATAGCTATTGTTATTGTTAGCATGCAGATAGAATAGAAGCACGATGAATTACAATCCGTCTGTATAGAGAAACATCAGCTACTATTGCCAAAACCCCACTTCGAATCATTAGAGACCTGGGCCATGGCGGCAGTGCAGCATATTTTTGAAGGTTTTCGGCAGACGCCTTTGGGCGATGAACGACAATCCGCCCCTCCATCTGGGAGTTTCCGAAAATAGGAGAGCCTAATCTAGTACCAGGATCCTGATTATAAGGACCCCAAAATAAGGTACCCCTAATTTGCGGAGACTCCCATCTCGAGCCCAAGACAACAGATAAATCATGACAGATCCTCAGGTTTGGTTTAGGGTTTAGGGTTTAGGGTTAAGGAGTATGTACTACTTTTAGGGCTGTTCCGCTGACATCTAGAAAGAGTTGCACACAGCTACGTCGAAAGTTGTTCCGGCAACGTACGAAACCTCCCATTGGCAGATCTCTAGGCCTTGTGCCTGCGAATTGGATGCAAGGTTGGACGCTTCTATTCATTGAACCTATACATGAACATCATGTACACCGTGTTAAAGTATCGCGGGAACGAGCTAGCAAAAGAGAGAGAGAGAGAGAGAGAGAGAGAGAGAGAGCGACAGAGAGAGAGAGAGAGAGAGAGAGAGAGACAGGGAGAGAGAGCGAGAGAGAGAGGGTGACAGAGAGCGAGAGAGACAGAGACAGGGGGGAGGGGAGAGCGAGAGTTTGAGAGACAGGGTGACAGAGAGACAGACTGAAAACTAGCACGACTATCGTGTTCTCCGTATCTCGGTAGTTGTGGTCAGCCTGCATGACCCATGCAGGCGCCAGCAGTGCTTGACGCTTCCGAGTCCTGCTTCTGCAACTCAGCAGCGAAGCATGGTCATTCATAAACCATAAACCCTAAACCTTACTTGGAGGATCAGGGGACTTAGTAAGTAGGGCTATAAGTAAGGCAACTATAGTTGTATCTACTTATAACCTTACGTCAGGTACTTATAACCCTACTTACTAAGTCCCATGATCCTCTAAGTAAACCCTATACTGTTGTATCGCAGTCGTCATGGCAGCCGTAACCACAAGGGCCAGGAGTCGAGCTTTGTTGGTGAATGGCCCAGTTGACATAGTTTTGGGGTTGGTGGTTGGTTACATAGTACATAACATAATAGAGAAATAGTCTCCCTCTCTCTCTGTCTGTCTCTCTTGGTCTCTTTCCGTCTCTCTCTCTCTCTGACTCTCTGTCTGTCCCTGTCTCTGTCTCTTTCTCTGTCTTTGTCGCTCGCTCTCGCTCCCGCTGTTTGCAACGGCTGGGCACGTGAGCTCTTGTGTGGGATCTTCTGCCATCTGTCTGGTAGCTAACGCTTGCTATCGTTTTATTACCCCAAAAGGTGTGGTGCATAGTATGGGGATCTATCGTTAAGTGTAAACGCGTCCAGCCGAACGCCAGATCTCATTGTAAATTCCAATTGCGTTGTTCGCCGTGCATCTGAATCTCGCCAGTATGTGGGGGAACGCATTTTTGGCCGTGCTCCTGGTAATATGGAGGCTACAGTAATTACCTATACTATTTTGGGGTTCCTCCTTATAAATTACAGCATAATGGGCTTCAAAACCATATTCGAATTTATAGTATCTCCCGGTGGTCTCCTGCTCAGTCCTGGTGGTCTCTTCACTTGGTGGTCTTCTCGTGGTCCCCTCGTGGTGGCGGTAGTCATCCTGGTCGTAGTTGTCGTGGTGGCCTGTGATGCTGTATCACCGTTTGGAGATCTACGCCGTCAGCTGTGGTTTTGATAAGAGTTCATTACGAAGTCTACCCCAGCAAAACCAAGACATCCTTCGTTTAACATGAACCTTGGGCGACCTAGTTTCCATAAGCCCTGAAACCTCTAATCTTCAATTCTAAGACCCGCACGCTTAACCGTAACCCTAAACCTAAACTATGTACCACAAATCCGAACAAAAAGAGAAAGCCTATAATCCAAACTCCAAAAGCAAGAATCCTGGAGCTTAAAACCCTTAGCCCGAACGGCCACACCTTAAACTCCCAACCCACCATGACTGGAGAAACAGTTCTGTTTAGAACTGTTATAGCGTCCGATAACCCCGGACAGAAGTGTTCTTCTCTGAAATTCTGAACTCCCAGGCAGCGTGGCTGCGATCCCGCAGTGTGCCACCCAGGCCAACACTGACTCTTTCAAACCCTACAGCCCAAACATAAGCCACAAACCCTGATCCCTAACCCCAAACCCCAGTTTTTGGGGTTGAACGGTGTCGGGCTTCGGGGTATGAGGGTCCTATACTTAGGCCTTCGGTGGGTCAACTTTCAACTTTTTGTGCGTACCTGGTCGTACACTGTTAAATGCAGCCAAGATGGATCAAGCTAGAGATGAATCCTTGTCATTCTTTGGGGGTGGATGCGCCAGAGCCCCAGCATTGTCTCATGAGATTTGCAGGTTTCAGGAGTTAGACTTGCTCACAAGCATTGGCATAACCGGCAAAGTTGACATTGACAGTATTGCAGATATCATATGACAAGTTTGCTGGTCCAGGTCTGACCAGACATGGCCCATCGCATCGAGCGTCCGGCACTTGGCTGATTAACCAGGGCTGAATATTAAGGGATTATGAAGGGCAGCTGAGGGTATGGGCTTCTAAACCTTCAACCCTGAACCCTTATCCCTAGACCCTATAAGCCCTAAAGTTTAAACCCTAAGTCCTCGACCCTAAACTCTAGCCCAAACCTTACATCCTAAAGCCCACACCCCAAGCCCTGGCCTAGCATAGTATCATATAAGTTATAGCCAGCGCCCCTCCCCAACCCCGCCCGAGGCATCCATCATTGTCAGGCCCTGTCAGGAATCAAGGAGGCGATGACCGAGGCCAGATGCACTGTGAGAGTGCAGGAGATTCTTTATCTCAACGCGCTGCGATAGCGCGTTGAGCAAGAGGGCACCCCGCGCTGCGATAGCGCAGGGAGTGCAGCCAAAAGTCGAGATGCTGCCAGCACTGCGATAGTGCAGGCAGCGTAGTCAGGCCCAGGCTCCGCCCTAAACCCTAAACCCTAAACCCTAATTAAACCCTTATAAGCCCTAAACCCTAAACCCTAAACTTCCCCACACATAGATGGCTCCTTGCGCAAAGGTCGGGACCACACCTGGCCGTTCCTCTTTACGGCCAAAGCCTGAGAGATGGGGCATGGTTTCCAGAAGATACTCTTTTATCTGTATATATATATATACATACATACATGTACATATATATATATATACACAGATTGATATTTAGCCGTTCAGTGGCTTCACTCAGCAAGCTTTAGCCAAGCTGCCACTTTGCAATTGAAACTGAAGGATGTAGCTGCTAGCTCAGCCAATGACTTGCCCGTACTCAGGTTGGCTGGTGACGGCCGCGGGCCTAGAGTGCTTGCACAATCAGCTGGCATGCCATGTTGTTTGGAAGCATTTGGTGGCAATCTTCCTGCAAACTTCCTGGCAGCCATAGGTCAAGTAGCGTTGCCATGGCTCCTGTCAGTGCACAGAAGTAAGACTGAGTCTTGCGACTTTACGGGTCGGCCTTGAAGCTTGCGTTTCGAGGCCGGAAGTTTTCCAGCCCCGTGGAGGACGACACGCGCAGACCTGAGCATCAGACATGTCTGCCAGACGTATCATGATCTTGTTGCAGCCTTGGGGCAAGTCGTGTTGATTATGATGTGCATGCTCAAGTGCTCGAAGCAATCCACGCAGCTTCATTCATGGCATGTCATGGCATTTCAGAACAATGACGCAACGACACTAGATCACCAATTTGAGTGAGCAGGCAAATGATGCAAGTCCGTCCTTTCACGGCATTGCACATCAGCTGGGCAATTTAAAACTTTAAGTTAGCATCAACATGAGCTGGGGATACAGCTCTTCGTCATGGCAGGGCGGCAGTGACGGCTGGGGAGACGGTGGTGGCTGGGATGGGCGTGAGTGGAAGCGCCCTGGTGGCAAGGTGCCGCCAGATGATGAGGAGGAAGAAGAGGAAGAAGAGGAAGAGGAGGAGGAACAAAGGGCTGCCAAAAGAAAGAAGGAGAACCAGAGGAAGCACAAGCAGAAAGGTCAGAAGGCCAGAGAGGCGTGGCGACAGCCACTTATCGATGATGCTCAGCGAGAGCGTCGTCGGGCCGATGCAGCAGAGGCGGCCCGCGTTACCATTCCATGTAGTACTTGACTGAGCGCCCCACATTCGCATTGCATGTAGTAGTTGATGGGGGCAAATCAGGCACACGTGCGGACTTTGACCTTGAGTTTGCAGACCGCGCAAGCTGCGAATGTGATCTTCGAGGCGCTCAGCCCTAACTCTTTATTTACGAAATCCTACACCTCAGCCTTGTTCCAGGAGCGTCGCCAGGATTTGTCGGATGAGCTCAGATCCGAGAAGGCGGCACTGGCTTCAGCCAAGTCGGAGAAGGACCCGCGAAGTTTCCATGAAGGGCTGAGTAAAAGTTTGTGTCTCGTGGCAGGCTGAGCAAACCATGGTTGCGGGTTCCAATGCAATCCTCCTTTTGGAAGCTCGGAATGAGGAGGCCAAAATGTGCTTGTGCTTGAGCAAGGACAACAACTTTACTTTTCTTTGGCAGGCAGAGCTGTCTGAAGAGTTGAAGGCAAAGGCCGATCTCTTCTGAATTCATGTCATGGGTTGGATAAATCAGTTCTGATCTTTTGATGTTTTCTGACATGCAGGCTGCGGAAATGCAAGCAGCATCGAACAAGCACGAGCAGGACTGATTCTATTAATATCTTGGAGGGCCAGTGTAAAGGGGCGTGAGCTTCTGGAGGCCCACAATCGGCACCTCTTCATCATTCGCCGCAAGAACATGTACAAGGACGGACTACTTCATACCAGCTTTTTCTTAGGGACTAGAGTTGCGAAGCTTCAGATCTGTGAGTTGAGCTGCTGACTTGAGGATGAGTACTGGACTGCGGAGAAGTCCTTGGCACGCTTCGAGGATTTGGCGGATAAAGTTTCTCTGTGCACTTCAGTCCCTAAGCTGGCAGGAGGACAGCGCAGAGGCGTTGATGATGCGCGAGAGCGCAGAGGCCTGGTGTGGACGGTAGCCACATTTCCTTATTGATAGATATTCTTATTGTTTTGCTCGTCAGGAGCAGTCTGCAGAGCAAATCACATCGCTGAGGGCTGCGTTGCGAGATGCACAGGACGCTTGTGGTACTATAATCTAGTGCGTGCGATAGCATATCTGTGGTGGCAGTGTTTCAGGAGCGTTTGGCCACGGAGGAGACCAGTTACAGCGATTTCTGCGAGGACACATGCCATGCAGACTTTATTTATTCCAGAGCTGATCAGTTTGTGATTGCATCAGACTTGTGAGGATCAGAGCATCAAATGGGAGCTCCACAAGGAGCACTTCAGAATCATTGAGAGTTCTGTATCCAGCAGGAAGATGCAGACAATTTTTAGTACCCCGCAGGCGCAGACTCACAAGCTGGAGCAGCACCTCGCAGAGGCACGAGCTGACGCTGAGGTCCGAGATTGATCTCGAAGTCATCATCCGTCAGGCCTTGCAGACGTCTCAACGGGGGCCACATGTGGGTCAGGCGGAGGGCGGATCGGATTGGGTAAATTGAGTGTGCCACCGCCTGGGCTGGTGAGGTCTCATCTCCGACAAGCCTTGCAGAAGAGCCCGACGAGGCTAATCTTATTTGTGCATGATATTCATGTGCCTTCTTGGAACGTAGCTTCAGATACATGCTGCGATCAGGAACTTCCTGAGATGGTGCCGACAGACATCCCTTCCTCGAGCAGCTGATGCACGCAAGCTTGTGGTGCAGGGGCATAAAAAAGTGTGCTTCCTCTTCTGTCTGCATTGCTACTTTTGCCGCTTGCCCACAATGGAGTAGTGGCCAGTACCATGCTGCGCTCAGGTCTGAGTGGGCTTCGCAGCTTCATGCCTGGCCGTCAATTTCACATGTGCAGCAGGTCTGTGATTGCTGACAGCGTCTTTCACAATTGAGTTTAACCCTGCAATGACCCCAAGTTGCAGAGTTTCCAGAGACTGGCTCAGGTCAGTCACGGAGATGGATGGCTGCAACCCTGTGGCGCAGGGAGGCAGCTTACTGAGAACGTGCGCTGAGTCGACTGTGAGCCTTCATGCTTTCTGCTCATTGACAAGTTGTGCTTCTGGTCGCGGTGTTGAGATTCTGGGCGTGTGTGAAAGTCATGGAAAATGTTTGTTCCATAGCAGCGGTGTGCAGGAGTGTTCAGCAAACTTAGTGGGCCTGGCAGCGCATGCAGGCTTTTGGAATCTGAGCGGAGCGGTGTCTGGCAGCGTTGGCAGGCGCCTGAAGCAGAACTCATTGTTGTGCTATAGGCTTTAGGAGGCAGTGAGCATTTGTCTGCTATGGAAGGCAGCTGCAAGGATTCGGAATAACGATGTGTGCACGGTTGGCATATGTGCAATCATGTCACACAATGCTCGTAGTTCATTTCATTGTCGTTTGTCGTCCAATCTCGTAGATGTCATTGATTCCTGGTTGGTCTAGCCTAGTTGAAATCCACTTTTATGTCCTAGATCAATTCGATATCCTGCCCCATCTCCTCCACCTATCCTTCTGATATCCTTCCCCTCTCCGTTGCCTATGCTTCCCATGTACTTGCTTCTTGTTTGCGTATATTTACAATATACGTATCTTTCAATCCATTTCATTCCAAGGAAACAGGAATGAAGTAGGTACATTCCTTTTCCTTCCCTTATCCTTCCCCTCTCCTTCCCCTCTCCGTCCCCTCTCCTTTCCATCTCCTTCCCACATACCTCCCATCTCCTTCTTCTCTACTTCCACTATCCTTCCTCTCTCCTTCCCCTCTCATTCCCTTCTCCTTCCCCTCTCCTTCCCTGCAAAGTGTGTTTTTTAGGAAAACTATACAGAACACACGACTCTCATGGTATTAGCAGATTATTATTATTGTCGTGCCATAATATCATATTCATATTTTTTAAACACCAAATTGGTGACATGGTTTCTGACCTGTCGGACGTTCACGGCAACCGCACCCATCCTGAAATGATGCAGGCAAGCCAGAAGCCAGTGCAAGGTCCGTGTGGTTTCCAAATCAGGGATGTAGCAGGAAGCGCTCCAGACTTTGCAGGCTGTTTGCCAATCAAGTGGGTATGCTTTTGCACTTCTGACCCATGTCAAGACCCCAGATTGAAACATGATGCACCTCCCTGCTTAGCTGGCAACACGTGTTTAAAAGAGTCATTCGAAGTCAGCTGGCATTCCAAGCAAGTGCAGTGCTAGGGGCATCTACTGGTGTGGTCATCAGTAAGTTTAAGACAGTTGCAAGGAACTGCCGAGTTTCATTTTCTGATGATGGCCGGTGCGGACCATCCGAAAGCATGCAAATGCCTGTCATGCCAATGGCCGAAGCACTCGACGACTTGGGCGCGGAAATGTGTTTATCAAGATGCGGACGGTGGGAAAATTGTCGAAAGACTAAGTTCTTCATGGGTGGGTCAAGTCTTGCCCCTGCCAGGATCCTTGAAAACATATCTGCAGAAGGACGGCGCCGGGCTCGTTTGCATACTCTGCCGGAATTTCGCCCAAGCTCACCCGGAGAAGATTAGAAAAGATTCTTCGTGGATCAAGGGCACGAAGGGCATGCCTCTTGTGCAGCTTGGCTTCATCAAGCACGCAGTGACTTTTGACAAAATGTCTTCACCACTGAGTCACTGATTCCCCATCGCTCCTGGCCCATTTGAATACCTAGGGATGGTGGTCGTATGCCACCGATTCAACTCGAAGATTTACTTCGCCATGGAAACCGGAGTGCCAAGTCGAAGCAAGTAAACAGATTTCACGAACAGGCTCTATTGTTCCATTTGCAGGGCGCGCTGCCGCGCGATGACGCTCTTGCCCTCATGCCTTTCACAGAGGACTGCAAGGAACGCAGCAGCACCGGGGCCGGATTTCGGGCCGTATCCATATCCCAACTGAGGATATCCCTGGAAACATTGCATAGTCCAGTTGGAGCTCAAGCTGCAGAGTACCAACGCCGGTGTGAAAGCCAACGGAAGCTTGCGCCCGAGCGCATCCCGCTGCATCACTGTGATCCAAAGGTCCATGGTCGCATCCTCCATGCGTATGCAGATGTGCTCTTCCAGCGGGCCCGTGTGGAGCTGAAGGGTGGCAGGGTTCAATGCATTGCTTTGGCGCAGGACGAAACACAAGTGCAGCTGCAGCATGCTTGGATGTGTGTTTGCACGTGCTTGCGCGCCGTTTTTTCTGTTGCCGCAGGATGTCCGAAAGGGCATCGAGCTCATCCGGGCAAGATTTGTTCTGGCTAACTTTGAGGTCAAGCATTTCATGCTCGATGTCATAGACACAGGTGGCAGGAAGGATGCTTTGGCAAAATGCAAGCAGCTGCAAGAGGCGATTTCCAGATTCGCCGAAGGTGATTCCGTGCTGATCCAGGCTTTCACTGAGAAGCTGCAGGCCGGTTTAATTTGTGTTGCATGTCCTGGACATGCGTTGTATGTCCTGGACACGCGTTGAGTGTCCTGGACATGCGTCAGAGTGATCATTGATTTGTTGGTCCTGGTAGGTCTTCTGTTCGGACGGGGAGGCGGCTGAGCCCCTGAGCGCTCGTTTCCTGAAGGAAGCAGCAGCGCCGAACTTGAGATCAGTGGTTCGTTGCACAATGCACTGCGCTCAGAAGTCCTTGGAGAACTCGATACATTCGTCATCGGTTGCAACGGAGCTTCTGAACACACTTGTGTACGCCTACAGTAGTGGGCGTCATGGTCAGGACAGTGACATGGGCGGGCTGGCCAGGGCAATCCGAAACTCAGAGAAGCTGAAGACTTGTTTCGAGCGACATGTGCAGGCGGTGAATGACGTGGACAAAATCTTTTCAAAGGCGCATGCAATGAATTTCGCGCCACAACGCTTCAACACGATTCTCGAGATGATGCAGTTCGTTTCCTTGCATGCTGGCCCACTCATTTCTATGCTTACAGAAGTGCATCATGCAGATCCAGCCTTGCACAACTGGAGCAAGAAGATGTTGCAGGCACTTTGCCCTGACAACCTCGTGTTATGTGCGCTTCTTGCCGAGCTTGCAGCTTGCGCTGCAAAATATTGCCATGCGTTCGACGCCGTGAAGAAGTCGCGGTACACTTCTATGACGCAAACAGCCGCACTTCTGCTTCAGCTGAAGCAAGAACTCCACAAGCTCTTTGCATTCCAGCAGGGCGAGTCAATGCAAGAGCCTCTTTGCCTAGCAGACAGATACACCGCTGGATATTTGCAAAGCCTTCAACGATCCTACAACCTGCTGGTGGACCAGGCGCATGATTGCATTGAAATTGTTTTGATGTGCGTGCCAAGCCTCAGACACAAAAAAACTTAATCTCCCTCAGGCGGTAGTCAAGAACAAGAAGCTTGTTTTCTACCACCCCGGCGCCAAGAATAGAGATGGCCTACGGTCCATGGTGGCCAAAGCACTGGGCACTGTTCAAGCGATAGTAGAGAACTATTTGGGTGCCTTGGATGCTGAGCACGGGTTTGAGGGACTGGCCTGGTCATTGCAACCGTTTGATTGCGAATCTTGGGAGCGCTCGTGCAGAGATGATGCGCTGTTCCCGCCTCAGATGATGTAGAGCTGATGGAGCCAGATTCTCACATAACCTCACTAAGACTGTCTAGGCAAGAGGTGTTGCAGCCCCTTGCCCACTTGGTTGATGTGGAGGCCAGCGATGTTTTCCAGTTGTGTGGCCTGCTGAGTTCGTCTTGTTGCAAACTCTTTCGAGGGAAGAAGTGGACGGTGGATGCCAAGAACGTCAGAGATACGCATATGATATTCTGACAAACACTTGCGCGTTATCCTTTCAAAACGAATATTGATTCAGTTGCTCATCAGATTCGTGATTAGTTCCATCGTGCACCATTTCTTTCCCATTCTGTTCCCTTGCATTCCCCTGTCTTTCCACCTTCCTTACCGTTATGTTGTCTTTTGTCATTTGATTTCGATAAAATTACCTATACATTTGCTTGCTGAAAGTTTTACCCAATCACTCTCCACAATCTCGCTTACACCTTCCTCCACATCCCTTTCCATTGCACTCCCTTTCCTGTAGTCACCCTCTCCTTCCACATTCTTTCCCATATCTAACCTCTATCTTTCCCTTCTCTTTCCCTTCTCCTTCCCCTCTCCTTCCCCTCTCCTTCCCCTGTCCTTCCCCTATCCCTATCATTCCTGTCATTCCGCAATTAAAACATATTGTAAAATACTTAATAGAACAAGGAACTATACTCTCTATAATTGTTGTCGGTGTGATGTAGTATAACAAACACCGGACTAAGGAAATTACATATTGAACGGAAGGAACTATTGGATCGGGAAAGGAAAGGGACATGAGAGGCGAAGGAGAGGGGAAGGAGAGGGGAAGGAGAGGGGAAGGAGAGGGGGAGGAGAGGGGAAGGAGAGCTCATGCTTTCAACATCTTCAGGAAATCGGCGTACGTTATTTTCGCAGACACGGCGCAGGGCCTTTCCATCCTTTCTTGGCAGGCCAGTGATCTGGCTTTCGAATATCTGACAGCCCGGCCAACCACTGAAGTCCTGCGAAGGCTTCTGTGCTATGCCGCGCACGAGTGTGCATGTGAGCAGTTCTAAGTCTCAATTACTAGAATGACGTAGGCGTGGTCTGCGAGATGTCAACACATATTGGAGCGAGACAGCGAAGCATTGGTCTGATCGGCTTCCCAATCTATGCAAAGCAGCATCAGGGCCGCGCTTCACACCGCTGTGCGTGTGGTCACATCTTGTGGGCATGTTGTCTAAGGTAACCTTGATGCTCGGCACCTTTGCCGGGACCGGTGAGCTGGAACAAAACTTCAGTTTCGCTGAAATGTTTACTGCTGGGCGCAAAGGCAGTGTGACGGTGGAAAATCTCAGGCTGGATAGACGTTCTGTAACTAGATTCTTTGGTTGGGGCATCGCCGTGGACGGAATTATGCTAAATCCACCTGCCCAGGAACATGCTGAAGGTTCGTCTCGACGGGCTTCCGCCTCATGAATTTGTCGTGAGCTGTCAAGAAGGTGCACATTCCTTGTCCATCGAGAAGCCAAGTGAGGATTGTGTGAGAACGCAACAACGCTTTATCCAGCTGTTTGGCGGAGGCAGCAACGGCAGAGCTCACGACTTGCCGAGGCGCCGGAAGAAACAGCGGACAGTCGATGGCAGCATTGATATTCTTGAGGGTCAGGAGACCGTGGCTTCGCTCAAGAGGAAGCGGTCAATGCAGTTGGAGTCACTTCAGCCAGAACAGCGCCCAGATGTGCAGCAGCTCGCTGAGCAAGCAGCAGCTGCTGCCGAGGCCACAAAAGCCAATCCTTCGTATCAGAACCTGTCGAAGAGGCTTTCCGCACTCGCGGAGGCCAAGCGTCGCCAGTTCCTCGAGGATGCTGGGCCGGCTGGTGGTGTCATTGCTGCCAAGTACGCGGCAGCTTTGTCAAAGGAGCAGAGGCTGCAAGAGTTGTTGCAGAAACTTGCAGAAGATGGTCACGCGCTGGAGCCATCCCAACAGCCTGCCATGGACCCAATGAACACCATCATTGTGTTTCAATCAGATGCAGGGGGTCACGACCTGTCAACCCTGGGAGCAGAGACCTGTGTGTGGAATGGCCATGAAGACCAGCTCGCGAAGTTGATGCAGAAACGAAACATCATTTGGTTCCTTGGAGATGCTAAGGCTGAGATGGCATTCATCATGCCGCAAGGCTCCGAGGTTGAAGGCTTCCTGGTCGGGTCGCGGCTGTTGGGTGGGTACGTTGCAACACAATGCTGGGCAAAAGCCTGCGCCCAGCATAACCTGTTTCTGCAACCGCCCCTTCATCTGGCTGGTGCTTTGCGGTCAAAACGCAACCTCATGGTCTATGTTCACAAGTCGGCAGCAGAGCAACACCTGGCGGCGGCCACCTGTGTTGTGCGTGCTGCCCATGCGGCTGGGTCACACATCCCCGATGTGAGGCTCGTTCTGAAGAACAAATGGAAGGATGTGAGCGCCAAAGGCGCTCTTGTGTTGACGGCCCCAGGCGATGTAAGAAAGGCTAAGAAACGCCAGCTGAAAGACAAGCTAAAGGGCTGTGTGCTAGACCCACTTGGTTTTCTCAGTGTGTGTACAGAGTGGGGATCTTGACATGTGGGGTGGGCCATGTCTTCGGAAGCTCTGCGCCTGAAATGCAGGCCGGCAGATACGCATGTGGGGCTTACATGCAGAGGTGAAGCATGCTGGAAAAAAGGTGTCAGAAGAGTTTCCTGCAGTCGTCATCACTTGAAATTTGCATGCCATGCTTGCATGTTTCGCATCCGGAGGCTTCAGCGACATCATCTGGATTCCGGATTGCGCAAGGTCCCCAAACTCTTCTTTGGGCGTGTGTCTGGAGAAGGTCAGGGTAGATCTGCGTTGTGATCACCAGTTTTGGCAGAAATAGCATCATTCCATCAAAGTGGGCTGCGCGGTCCGAGTACTGATTACTGAGAGGTATACGAGCCGCCTGAAGTTTTATTTGCAGTGGAAAGTTACAATCACGACCAAGGCGATGCGTTCCCGAAGTCGGGGACTGCAAGTGCTGACAGGCCAGTGCCCCTCCTGACAATCCGAGATTTTGTTGAAGAAGCTTTGTGCGGATGACTGTTGGGCCGTATTCAGATGTCCGTTTCCTGTTGAGAGGCACTGCCCCCTCTGCGTCGCAGCCTCGCAAATCTGACAGCAGGCCCCGCGCAGCAGTTTAGTAAGCAAGTAATTCAGGCATATCTTCATAACTGCCTTTACCTTTGTGTCACGTACCCGGTGTGCCAGAGTGGACCGCTATGTGTCACAGCAGCAGCCGGCAGTGCTATTGTTTCTACAAGCAGAGTCACGTCCTGGTGACAGTTTATACACACGCGACATGTGCTGCAGTGCATGTTCGGCGGGTCATGCCCTATCACGCTGAGACTTGCTAAGGACTCATGCCGAATCAATATCCAGCCTGGCTGCTGGCATCGACAACGTTAATGTGTCGTGACCGAAGAGGGCATGAGGCTTCAAGCATCGGGAGAGATGGAGAGAGAGAGAGAGAGAGAGAGAGAGAGAGAGAGAGAGAGAGAGAGAGAGAGAGAGAGAGAGAGAGAGAGAGAGAGAGAGACTCTCTCCATGGGACCTACTATCGCCCAAAGAAGAAGGGGAGAGGTTGGATAGGTCGCGTAGGTGTCCTTTCCGTGTTCAACCGAGGTGCAGCTGGTCATCCTTCCATCCAACGCGGCGATTCGAGCTGGGGCAGGGTGGGCACAAAATTAGCCACTGGGCGGCATTCTGAGAAACAGGACATAATTTCTCCAAGTCAGCTGCCACGTGCTGAAGTTTACACAGGAGTTATTATTATTGATGCCACCGACAGCAGAGAACGTGATTTGCCAAATGAGTCTAGACAGTGCTTTTCAGGTGCTTGGTCATTCAACTCAATTGCCTGCAATCAGGACCAACAACCAGGAATTCATGACTCAGCGATCCTGGTGGTACAGGCAAGGCCGTCTTTTTGGGCCCACCCTGAACTTTTTCATCTTACGTTGGCCTCCTAGCGTCGCAGAAGCCATCTGGTAGCTGACTCCCATTTCCCACAGCAGGCCCAGGGCCCGGCGTCGCAGGACCTGCCAGGGACCCAGGTGCGATGTGCCCGTGTTTGAGACAAGTGTGGTGCTTGATCTGGGAAAGAGTAGGCTCCCTTTGTAGCATTTCAGGGTGTGGGCCTTTGCCGGTGCGCCGACAGCAGGCCCAGGGCCGCTTGTCGCGGAAGAGGGGTGGAGCCATCCCTAGCAGAGAGACAGATGGAAGCCTAAAATAAAAGTTTAAACTTTCCTTTTGCCGGAAGCAAATGGTTTTCTGCACGGTGCACTGTCTGCTGTTTGCGCATGGAAGCATTACAGTCCTCATCATGAGACTTTTTGGGCTCTGCCGGGAGTTGGCCGCTGGCGGATGCATCATGGTCAAGCGAGGCAATGTCGGTGCTGGGCAAGCCAAGTCGAAGTCAGCTCGGAAGGGGCAGACTTCTCCTGCCAAGCCTGATATTCCTGAGAAGGAGGAATCCAAGGCTGATCAGCAGCATGTTTGGGAAGAAGTGAAGGGTGCCATTGAGGTACTCCGCAAGCGCGGAGAGTGGCTAGAGCCAGGCACAGATCCATGTTGCCCTTCGGGTTTGACTGCAATTCCAGACACCCCCCCGGACCATCAAGAGCTGCCCGGCGGCATGTCATGTGTTGTGCATCCAAGCCAATGAAACCGGATCGTTTGTTTAAGATGTGTGACCAAGGGCTGTGCACTGCTGTGCGGTGATTGGTGACTTCGATTGGTCATGTCCTGGACCGGGTGGAGCTACAATCTCCAGGTCTGACATTGGCAGCTCAAGAGATTTCTTCTACAAGGACAAGGACCCAGATGAGTTTCCCGTAATCACAGTGCTGTACACGAGTGACTCTGTGAGGCCGGGGACAGCATCAGCATGTCAATCTTGAAAATATTTTGGCTTGTCAATTTGTGCAGGGGCCGCTACGTTCCTGTGTCGCGAGTGGCGCAGCTGTGCGCCTTTGTATTTTCTTGGGCGGCCAGTGATGGCGATCGGGCGGTGGCATTCCGGAAACGAGCAAGTGCAACTTATCGGCGTTTGTAATGCTCGGTGCTTTGGTCCATGGCATGCACGCTGAGGCACTGCCGGTCTCCCTTGTCAGAGGGTCAGCAGACTCAGCAGAAAGCTTCTGGCTGATACACAATCACGGAGAACGCATGCAGCAATTCTCGAATGAGGACCCAGCAATTGTGAGTCTTGGAGAGCTTGTAACGTTTTGTGTCATTGCAGGAGGGAAACCAGCTCTGCGTGAGACTGTGTGATCGCCTGGCACAGCCAGAGCCACAGGAGCATATGGCGTTCTGAGATAAGGTTTCAATCAATGCTCAGGTTACGGGCGCTCAACAGTTCTTTGGGCAGACCCTGCTCGCCTGCGGACCTCTTTGCAGAGTTCCAGGTACGGTTGCGAGTACTGTGAATCTTGATACAGGTTATCGACAATGCGTGTATGCCAGGAACGAGTACGCTCCAAGAAGCTGACCTATGCAAGCGCAGATTCCACAGCAGCAGGCTGAGGCTTGTACGTTCAAGCTTTGGTAAGGGGCAATGTTACTAGACCTCTCAGGTCAAATCAACAGATATGGTTGCAAAGCTACTCCACCTTCGGGATCGTGCTTGCGAAGCAGGAGTTTGGGAGATAGCCCGGGAGCTCCAGCGTGGTCCGAATGGTCCAACGTGGATGTCCCGTTGGGCAATTGCCACACGGCTTCTGGGCTCGGCGCGTGATGACAAAGAGTTTGCTTGGATGATTCGCGGGGGCCCTGTGCTGTAGTCCTGCCGAATTTTAACACAGAGTCCGCAAGCAAGGTCAAATGGCACGAGGCTCAAGTTGCCCAGATCTGTACCCCTGCGAGAAGAAGGTGTATGACTGGACAAAAGGTGACCTCGAAGAGGGTGCGAAAGCCATCCTGACCTGCCGCAGGTTCATTGAGAAGCTTTCCCAATCTTGTGTGCGCAAAGGGGACGGCTCGCAGGAGTGGGCTGCAGAGATGGAGCATTTCCTGCTGCCCCAAAGCGTTGCATTGGATGGCAAGACAGAGCTTGAGGGCTACTTGATGTTGGGTCGGACTGATTCAGAAATCGCGGTTCTGAAGCTTGTCGTCTCCCTTCACAATCTTGAACATTTGCCGCTCATGTACCACCTTTGCGCAACATCGCAGACACTAGCGTCTCAGTGGAGCGACCCTCGTGCTCAGACTGTGGTGGCGGCAGTTGTGAAGGAGCAACTTGCTTTAGATTCATAAGTGGTTCTGAGCAGCAACTGCTATGAATGGGTTCCATCCAAGGTACCGAGATGAGCACAGCAAGATCTTGCCAGTAGCTCCTGCAGCTGAGAATGTAGCCGAAGAAGAGCAGGACCTGCAGCAGCATGAGAAGGAGGTGGAACGATGGAGATGTGACGTCTCATACGGACACAGCTCCTCCTGCTGGGAGTGGCAGTTCGACAAGCGCATCAGCGCTGATTGAGCGTGCAGTGGAAGATGAGCTGAAGCGGTACATGAAACTCCTCGTGGTTCAAGACGTCACGGTCGCCAATGGCATTTCCAGTGTGTTGGAGTCGTGCCCCAGCTGCATGCCGGTCGCCTCTCAAATAGCAGCTAAGTATCAGCGGGTATAAGTGAGGTGTTTGGATATTATTCGACCACGCGATGGAGGCGAGGAACGTGAGATCCGAGCGTGGTGGTGGGATTCCGCCTACTTGGCGGAAACCTCCGAATCATTTTCACGATCACACAACCCCTTTTCGAGAGCTCCCCCGTTCGTGAAGCCTGCCCTGCTCCTTGGCCTGAAAGAGGACTGACTTGGGCAAACTTTGTGTGTGTTGCAGGCGTTTGCTTCCATAAGGCACGCAGCCGCGAAGGTCTTCGCACAGTTCGCTGAGGCGTCCAAGGACTGCTTGGTTGCCTTCGACTCCGGCTCCACGAAAGCTGGCAGTGAAGTGAAGAAAGTCATGCAGAAGCTAATGAAGCAAGATTGGTCCTCGACTCAATGGTTATTGATCCCTAACAAACAACGGGATTTGGAACTCCGAGCACAAGGATTTTCAGAGTTCCTTGGCCGGACATAGCAATCCATGAGACGTGATTGCAGTAACACCTGACAGCACAGGTCGCGGGATGGCAAGCGCCGGAAGAAAGCAGGGGCCCTTTCCTCGTTAGCCGGTAAAGAGACGGTCTATGTGGTGTTCAACGGGCCAGTGGTGGAGTCGCGGGAGCTTCGCTACTTACAGAATGAATGGAGCCATGTTTTGAAATTAATTAATGCTAATCCAGGGCGGCATGAAAACACTAGATGTTTGATGTTGGTGGCTGACAGGACAACCGACTCCTCGAGCCCGTTTCTGGGTATTCCGCTGCCAGATCCAAGTTCCCTGCCCACCATCCCCAGAAAGTACAAGGAAGAGGCCGGCGATAAGATTTGGGCACACCTGCATCTTGATGTAACTCTTGTGCAGGTGATCCTGCATCGTGAAAAGCTTGGCAAAGGCTTTGTCGTTGAAGACACTCCCGACCCAGAGCACATTCAAGACATCGACTTGGAGGCCTTCTATCCTGAATGGAGGGTTTTCTGATGCCAGCTTGGAATCCCCAGGACCAAGTGCCAATCCATGTGCACATGAAGCACGTCAGCACATACCGGGAGTTGCTGCACGTGCTACGCATCACCAGCCTGGTGGCATTTGCACCGGATCCATCGCTGCTGCTGGCGTGTCTTGCGGCTTAGCTTTCTTAACATCGGTCTTACGCTGTGGCTGCACTGCACAATCCCAGGAGATGCGGATCACCTGCTTGGTGCTGTGCCGCAATGTGCGGCACCAGTCCATTTTGAATGGATTCCTGAAGGACAAGGTCAAGGCACTGATTCAAGACCCGACATGCATCCGCTTCCACAAGAAGTTTGATGGCCAGAACACAGGCGCAACTGTATGTTCATGGCTGATGGCTTGCAGCATGTCCCCTGTGCAAGTTGTGGTGAGAGCAGAGCAGGTGTGCTCCATCCAGTGAGCAGTGTGCCGGTGGTTGCCGTGCCGCCTGCGGCTGCGGCTACGAATCCAACGGAAAGCAAGACGCCGGCTCAGCCTGCGGCTGCGAATCCAAGCGTGCCTGAGGCTAAGGAGGACCATGGTTCGCCTGACGAGGAAGGGGGGTCTAGCTCCGATGAGCCCAGCTCAGAGGCATGAAGATTTTCCATTAATTATGTCAGGACGACGAAGCTGGGGTAGGTGGCATTCATATCACGAATAGAACCCACATGTGGATCAACCGAGACTCCATGCTTTGGACGTCCTGATGCCAGATGAGGTTTTGCTCGGATTGTCTCCACTGAGGGGCCAGCTAGGTCTTGACAAGTGCTGTCTGCGCGAATCTGTGGCTTGCGATCTGATATGCATGTGTGCCCTGCGGCCCTGCGCTGTGGTTGGCACGGAACTGAGCATCTGTGCGCGGTGTGGCAGTTTCTCCTGAAGCCTCACAACCCCAGCCCCAACCACCGGAGCGCAGTCATGGCTGCCATCGTCGGGTACTGCATCCTCAGCGAGGAGCTCTTGTGCGGCAACAAAGCTCGTGTGATCCAATTCTCCGGAAGTTTGCCGCGAGCTGTTGCCAGAACCCAGAATGAAAGTGTGAAGGCGTTGCTTTGCTGCACAGATCTGATCTTTCGTGCATTTCCACATTATTCACGCTTGCTACTCATCGCCCTCTCCTTCCCCTCTCATTTCCTTTCTGCTTCCACCTCCTTCCCTATATTCCAATCTTCGTCCTATACATCCATTCTGTGCAGATGTTGGTCTTGCTATAGCCTGTCGTTGAGGTTGGGATTCAGTGCGAGCATGGGCACTCAGCCAAAAGCTGCAAATGTTCGGAAGCGGGCTCTGCAGGGCCATGTGTGGGGCCTCTTGGAAACGCCCCTCCTACAATGCCTGGAAGTCAAAGTGACGAATGTCCAAGAAGCCTTCGAAAAGGCTATGGTGACGGTGACGAAATCTTCTAGTGGTCTATCTGAATTCTGGCTCGACACCAAGGTGCTGAAGAAAGGTGCACAGGAGATGACAAGCCTGCCATTTGAGATCAATATCTTCAACGTGACTGTGGGGGTTTCCTCGCTCGATCCTCCACTCTCGGGAGGCAGAATTACGAATCATACACATATGTCAATGCACAGAACTCATATTATTAAGAACCGGCAGGCACGTGGCAATTCTTCCGCTTCAAGAATGAAGACGACCAGGAGATGCTTCGTAAGACGCTGATGAAAAATCTTGTCGTCAGTGCCAAGGGGTTGCGAGCATCAATCGTGTTGTTTTCCTCCTACAAGCTGGCGGTGTCGCTGCTGTTTCTCTTGAAGAAGGGGGTCCAAGAGCAGCTGCTTGGTGGCAAGTCAAGACACACAGCAATAATTAAAGAATGTCCAAAGCAATGGGAGGTTCGAGCTGCAGATGGTATGGGGATCGGAGCTACCTGATCTTCAGTACATCAATCGAACCGAGTCACCGCTGATGGAAACTCGGCAGTATCATAGTATCAAGTTTCAATGTGTGGATTCCGCATTAAATGCAAGAACCTTGTCTGTAGGACTTCTATGTGGGATCCGGAGAGAACATGATTGCCGGACTGAACCGCGCTGCGGCAACTTCGAGGATGGAGTGGAAAACTGCACGCCGTACTTCCTATGAGTCCAAGACTTTGCGGGATGAGGCGGAGCGAGTTCGAAGCATGCTCCTCACAATCAATGACCGCATCGAGATGGCTGATGATGAGGTGAACTCCCTCCGAGCTGAGAAAAGATCCTTGGAGGCTGCTCAGCAGGATTTGAAACGTCGCATGAAGGCCGAGCCCGAACATGACGAACCGGCCCTCTGCAGCGACGAGGGGACCACGGCGCGTGCAATCAACGAGCCTGCAGGCTCATCCTCCTCCTCCAGCAACAGTGGCAGCGGAGACCGCAAGCGCAGCCGTCACACATCATACAAGTGAGCCTGTGTGGCATGGGACGGTGCGTGGATGAGAGAGATTGTAAGTGGCTGATTGTCAGAAGCCCGTGCAGCCACAAATTAAATGTCTCGCACCTGTTATCTGCGCATCGGAACGGAGTTTTGGAAGTCAGATTTTCGATGCTGGCTATCGCAGCTGAAACCGCAAAAGCGCTGAAACAGAGATTTTTGCTTGTGTTGCAATGCTGTGATTCCACCCGAAGCTGAGTGTAGGCGCACACAGGTGAGCGCAAGTTGCTTCATGATTAGCCGTGTGGCTTTAGGCTAGTGTTGGCAGCCATGACCAGAGTGTACGTGAAAAACAAAGCACTGGGCCTGAAACGGCCTCCCAGTGCCTTCGCCTTGTATCTGCACAAGGCAAGCGGGCGTCGTGTCACTGGGAAGAGCTCTGGCAATATAATGGCTCGATCGCGGCAAACATGGTTCAGATCTCAGCTTGCTTCTGCTTAGGTCTTGTAGGACAAGTAGGAGGCGAGCATTGTGACCTGAGGAATAACTTGTCGAAAGCTGCGAAGAAGCCATATATAGAGGCGTCTGAGAAGGCCATCAAGGATGCCAAGGCTGGCGTCGCGCAGGGGTGAAATTAGGTTCGGTGCTTTGAGTCCCCTCAGGATCTGAGGGCGGCTATGTTGGGAGCCGCCAGTCCTCCCGATTCTGGCCCTGTTCAAGAACCAGATTCTTGCCCTGAGGGTGCCCCGGGGGACATGAACATGGATGGCATGTGGATGCGACCCTTGGAGATGATTGGCTCTGGGGCATACGGCAAAGTCTGGGCTCCTTGATTGGAGTCAGTTCTGGCGCATGGTGTGTTGCCACTGTTTCGTGCTTGGTGCTTTCGACTTAGGTGGTTTCGGATGCCTGGGGCAAGTTCGCGGCAAAAGTGTGCACGAACGATGGCCTGATGGGAGAGATGAGGATGCTGCAGGCGATGTCGCATCCGAACGTAATGCCGGTTCAGGCTTGGCTGACTGGCACAATTCCTTCGGTGTGGTCAGCACTAGTTATGCCATTGGGTGAAGGATCCCTTGTAATGGTTTGCCGGGACTCACCTGGAACCCTCGAGTCTTGGAAGTTGCTACGTCAAGTAGCCTGTGGCCTGAAGTTCTTGCACACAAAGGAGATCCTTCATATGGATTTGAAGCCTCCCAATGTTATTCTGTTCGAGAACAGGACAATCGCCAAGATTTCTGATCTTGGATTGGCCCAGGCCACTCGGGGAGGCAAAACCGTGGTTGAGCGAGGTTGCCAGGTGTTCACTGCAAACTTTCGACCACCTGAATGTTGGCTTCACCTGGACTCCGAGGCCTGCTAATTCATCAGTCCGATTTTGCTGACTTCCTCAGATTGCATCTTGTCCCGGGCCATGCGCAGGTTGTTTTGACGCCAAGTGCTGACATTTACTCCCTGGGCTGCTTGGCATTTTCAGTATATACGGGCCGCCTGCTGATCAACAATGTTGAGACAGTGAAGAAGCTTTTCCAGGGGCAATTGCCAGCGTCAAAGATGCGGGCAGATTTTGCTACCATCATCCGCTCACGTGTGGAGAAGTACATAGTTCGTGCTGCGTGTGAAGCGCATGATGTCGGCAAGTCGTTTGTGCTGAAAAGTACAGCGTGGGGAGCTGCACGTGCAAAGTTCCCAGACCTCCAGGAGTTGTTTGTGGCATGCTCCAAATCCACGTCTCTGCAGCACACGCATCTTTGAGACCACCTTTGCAGTTGGTCAGCAGAGTCGCCGACCGGAACAGACAATGTGCAAACGATTGTCGGGGTAAAAAGAGACATCCAATACAAATCAGTGGCAATGATGGTGTACCTTGGCTCATCATTTTCCTTGTGCAGGTCAGTGTCGTGTCCCAGCGGAAGGCTCGGTGCATGCCACTTGCCTGCGCTGAAATCTGCAAGCCAGACCATGAACCCTAAACCCTGTAAGAAGCCGAGCGCAGGTGGACCTTTCCTGAAAGCATCTCGTCTTTCCGGCCAAAGTTTGCTTTGTGCAGCCTGTGACACGCGTGCAAACTGATATGTGGGTCTGTTACTTGATGCTTGCCTGTGTCACGCGTGCAAACTGATATGTGGGTCTGTTACTTGATGCTTGATAACTTGAAATGTTGCACAACACTTTGCATTTCGACTCTTGCCTCAAGCGGCCCCGTAGCCTTGAAGAGCATCAGTCAGCAATGGGGAAGAGCACGCATCCAAAGAAGAAGAAGAAGGTCGTGCCAAAGAAGAAGCCAGCCAGCAAAACACAGAAAGATAAGACGGAGAAGTTGCAGGCAGACCTACCAAATCTTCCTCTGCCTCTAACCACGACAACTCCATTCGATGGGAAGAAGTTCATGGCGCAGCTTCTGGAGTATTTGCCTGAGCAGCGTCCTGAAGCACGTTCCGAGCTTCGTTGGGGGTCAGGCTTCGATGGCTTGGATACGATCACGCAGGCGCTCTCTTGCCTTGAGGTGCAGCACGAGCACGCCTTCGGGGCTGAGATTTCGAAAACGGCGGCCACATGGGTGCTAAAGCGAGCTGGGCCCAAACATCTGTTTCAGGACTCTCCGTTGAGTTTCGGATTTGAAGGGGAGGGAGTGATGCATTGCCTTGGGCAATGACCTGCAAGGACGTGATGCACACAAGCAGATCATCGGCATACTGCCTGACTCATGGTCAGAAGTGCAAGGTGCCAGGCAGTGACCTGCAGCTTTACGCTGCCGGTAACAGCTGCAAATCGAATAGCATTCGCAATCCGAAGCGATGGACCGACAATCCCATGCAGGGTGAGTCCGGCTCGACCTTTTCCATGACGGTTGATGTGTTGGTCAAATGGCAGCCACGTTTTTTCTTGATCGAGAATGTGGTTGGAGCAAGGCCAGAAAGATATGTGTTTCAACTTGTGCCAACATGAGTTCACAGACTTGTTTTCCTAAGCTCAGGCGGCCATGCAAAGTCGGAAGCGCTGCAGACTCGCAGGACAAGAAATCGCCGTTGGAGATCTACCTGGAGACCCTGAGAAGCCGCTTGCCAGGCTACGACATTGAGTGGGTGGAGGTTGGCGGGCACCCACTTCCTGAGCGGCGTGAACGGTTATGGATCTTAGGCTCCCGGGACCCTGAGTTTGGTGGCAAGGCTTGGACTGACAAGGTTCGCGAGCTGGAGTTGAAATGCGTGACCAGTTTGCCAATTGTGCATTTGAGCACAATGTTCGAGAAAGGCGGCGATGCCCAGCCGCCGCCGCCAGCAGCCGATCCATCATGGAAAGATGAGGCCACTTACCACTCGACGTTTGCCAAGATGATGTCCAGGAGCATCGAACAGAAGAAGGTCACAAAGGATGCGCATATCAAGCCACTAAAAGAACGTGCCTCTCAGGTCATGCCTGCCCTCGGCAGGTTCACTGCTTGGCAAAAAGCCAACGTTGACGCGTTGGAAGTGATCTTGAACCAGACCGCGACCCGTGTTCCCAAAAGCTTCCCGCTGTTGCCGATTGCCGACATCTCCCAGAGCACGGCCTTCGCGAGAACATCGGTTGTTGGCACATGGAGCACACTTACCACAGCGACGATGATCCTGAATTTTCAGACCGGCAAGATTGAACCCCCACGCTCACATTTCCAAATGCTCGGATGGCCAGCCGACGTCGAGTTAAAAGGATTCTCGGATCCAGAACTCTATGACATGTGCGGCAATGCCATGTCAGTGGCAGCAGTGTGCAAAGTGCTAGCACCAGTTCTTCGTCACTTGAAGTGTTTTTAGCTGGCGATCTCCGAAGTGCGGTGCTCTGGAGCCATCGGCGATGCGTTGGCAAAAAGGTGCACGTGCAGGAGTGAGTCTATTCATGTCACTTGCAGAAGCGAGCGCATCAGAACTGTTGCGACTGATCCCAACATGCTTTGGCCAGGTTGGCAGCCGCTGAGAGGGTCCGTGGCCTGTAGCACCATGCCTTAACCCGTGATTCAATTCCCCTGCATGGTTCCCCTGCATATTAGACTATTGACCTCCGTACTGTTTGGTGTGATTACAGCATCAGACGTGGACTCTGAGAAATCCGCGGCCAAAATAATGTGTCCTGTCCGAGCCTGAGACCTATGCAGCTACACTATAACAATGCATTGCATTCATGTTGTTGAAGGCTGCAGCGTACGGTTGCTTGGGTATGCGCATGTCATGAGCTCCCTACATGCTGTTCCGAAGTTGCAGCACGCAGCGGGCAATACTTACTCAAGGCTTATGTATCCAGGTTGCCTTCGGACGTTGATATCATGGCGACTATTTTGTGGTGGGGTAGCTGTGTCAATGCTGCGGCGGCATTCAATCATGCCGAGATCGGCAAGGTGATAACCGTGGCAAGGACCCAAGATCAGGCCAGGATTGTGGGCAGAGTTCGTTATCACGATCAGTTCCTAGATGTTCTGGTGCTACGAGATGAGCCAGCCGTCAATAAGAAAGGTTCGATCTTGCTCGGCTTTGTCAGTAGTGAGGAAGATTTGGCGGCGGCGGTCAGTTTTGGCAAGAAGCACGCAGTGGTCATGGGCATCATCCTTTCCTCTCTTGTTGCAGGCCTAGAGGCCTCTGGAGATCCGCAGTGGGGTGTTGCCACGAAGGAGTTGAATTGGATGGGCTTCTGCCCTCACTACGAAGGGAGGAGCTTCTTGGCCATGTTCAGCCGAAGCGCTTTCAGCGGGAATGCCCTGCAAAATATCCTTCATCGAACTGCCCTTGCCACCTCGCCTGCCACGGCTTACACACCAAGTGCCAGTGACATCCGGTCCACATTGCAATTCGCAAAGGAGTATTCCCGATCGCTCATCCAAGTCAAGGGCGAGAAGGAGGCGGAGGGCTCGGGCAAGGATTCTGGCAACGATGGGCAAATCAAAATCAAGGAAGAGCAGGAGGCGGATGATTCGGCCAAGAAGGCTGGCAATGACAAGAAAAGGCGCTTTGACGAAGCCGTTGAGGAGCTGAAGCGGACTGCCAACGATGGGCAGATTTGGTTCGTGGAAGGTGACCGCAAGGCTGCGAAGCGCAAGTGTACAACCCGGCCACCTGCATGCAAGGCCAAATCTGCCAACCTCGTCTGTTTGGATAAGAAGATCTACTGCTTGGGGCCTCACGAGTACCTGGGCTACTTGAACTGGTCTGGGTTGAATATCAACATGGCCTTGGTGAACCCCGCGGATGCCCGGCGCTTGATTGCAAACACTCCTCCGAAAAGTGTTGTCGATGTCCTGTTGTCAGCTGCTCTTGAAGTGCACCTTGGCTCACCGTAGAATATTGGCTTTTTGTTATACTTGCACCCATGTGTTTGACATCATCTGTGTATGCGCAATCTCAGGTACAGAACGGGAGCCTCAGCCTGATGTGGGAGTTCTGTCGTCATGCGGGAATCGATGCCTGAGTGGAGAAAAAAACATGTGCTCACACGCGGCAGGGCAGCTAAGGGGATGGAAAATCAATAGAAAGTTTAAACTTTATTTCCCCAGGAAACTGAAGGGGTAAGTATAAGGTTGCTGATCATGTGTACGGGGAGAGAATGATTTTGGGGTCTATGTCTGTATATTGGTGTGTATACATCTACTTTTATATACGCACACACACACACATACACGGAGTGAGCTGTAGCATGCAAAAGGAAGTAGGTTAGCGCCGACGACTTGCGCTCTCATCTGGCTGCAAGTTAAGGGAGTAAAAAACACACATACGCATTCAGTTTTTCCAAGGGCATCTGCGGCGAAGCAGCGGCCGCTCCCCAAAAGTGGTCGCAGATGCCAGGGGCCATGGAAGAGTTTTTCGGATTGTGGGCATGAGACGAGTTGATGCACAGAAGCAGGCGTCAAGGGATCGTGACAGCAACCAACACCCAGGAAGCGCATGTAAAGCACGGAGCGTAGAGCCATCCACAGCGCAGCCATGGCAACGGCATGCTGCCAATGCGACTGTTTTTTGGACGCATTGCAATGCGGGCAGAGATGCAACGAGACGCGTTTTGATCGTACGGCTGGCTGGCACAAAGTCAAAAAGAGCAAGACCGGTACTGTCTCAAATGTGTCTTTGCCAATCAGTGGGAGGCGGAGGTGAGGCCGAAATTGCAGCAAGTGCAGGGCTTGTGCGACATGCATGTGCGATGCCGACAAGGCCGCTCACGTTCAACCCTCTTCGTCATCCTCTTCAACAAATGTTGGTCCGTCGACGCCTGCCACTCCTGTTTGAGTGCTGGTTGTGTCCGCACATGTTGGACTTGTTTCAGGAGCGACCCGGTGTGAGCCGTTATGGACGCTCGTTGGGCTACTCTCCGCATGCTTTGAGGTACATGCAGAACACGTGTCAATGCAACGTGCAAAAGTTGAGTCAAGGTGTTGTGATGCGGTTATGGTTTGGTTCGTATTGTTGTGTACGGCAGAATTATGGCCACAGGGGTTCTCAAATCTTGGGGCAACATGGAAGCGGCTTGCTCCGGAAACTTTTGTTTAATAACATTCCTAGTAGATTTTTCGCAAAGTATGGCAAACAAGGCCGTCGCATTCAAGCGTGCATTTTCCAGCTTGAACAACACCGTGATCGGTCGGAGCCAAAAAGCAATTGCCCGCATGCCGTGCCCGTTTGCCGGCCCTGCATGGCTTGATTGATCTTATGTCCGGCGACGATGAGCCATCTGGTGCTTCCATGTTGTCAGAAACAGCTTCCAATCCTCATGAGATCGTCGAGACACCAGTTGTTGCTTTTTTTAAGTTAAAGCTTTTTAGATCCACATGGGTCACATGATACAACATGCAACATCATGCAAATGCGTATGTTAGGACAAGCACGAAACAGTAGGCTATTTTGCTGCATGAGCAGGTGTGTCGTCACGAGCACTGCCATCACCGCACAGTCCGGCAAGCTTTCCTAACACGGGGCCACCAAATCCTGATTTCTGTGGCAGAAAACGAAACATAAGATGGAATGGATCTTGAGGGAGATTAGAAAAACATCTTTGAGAAACATGCCATAGCCGCGCATAAGTTTTGGTGAAGACATGTGACAACACACATGCACAATGTGGGGATACGGAAGCCGGGAGCAAAAGACTGATATGTGACCATGTTGTCCTTTCCGCGTTAAAGGTATTTGTTGCCTGGTATGTGTTGATCCTCTCGAGACATTCTCCGAGACATGGCACGCAGCCAGAAAGCCGCGTTAGTTTTACGCAGCGCCGGAGACAACATGTGGACACGAGCATAAAGAATCCAGACTGGTGAAAGTTTGAGCGGTCATTGCTCATAAAGTACGGCGCGCAAGATGTGTTATGTTCGCGCTGTCGATTTTTGAAAAGGCTCTGCCATTTAGCAAGCTAGGACTTGTTCGCCCTTTCACAAGTTTTGGTTTTGGCCAAAGGCCAAAAAGTATGAAGAGTGCGATGAAATCGCCGTCATTCCGTGCCCCGAAGCGTGGACACACCGTGTACAGAATCTAGCCATGAAGCAGTATGTGAAGGTGCCGTATGTTCGCCACCGCGTTGACGGCAGAGAACAGAGGCCATCTTGATCGGTCGGATTTTTAGTACACACGCTCTTGTCAAGCTTACAAGAGACAAGATCCTTCCAAACTGGTGTGGTCATCTGTGTCCTCGGTGCGGTCATGGCATTTTGCGCAAATTGTCTTATGTCGAACCGATAATGCGTGCGGTTACAGATGGGGACACACGCGATGCCACGACAGCCCCAAGCAGCGAGAAAACAGAGTGGGAGCATTGGGGAGGATTGGTTGCTGGTGGCTGACCCTCATCCTTGAAGCTTTTTGCGTTACAAGCGGCGGAATGGACCGAACCGGCACCGGGGCCAAGCAACTTGAAGCCCGCGGGATCATTTTCTGCGGCAGCGGCAGCCTGGAAGGCGAGGGCAAGGAGATGGCAGGCCGCGCAACCTCGGTCGCAGCATCTCCTTCCTCAGCGTTTAAAAGGCGGGTTGTTTTCCACAGCGATGGCTCCCCTGTCTGCCGGAACCTCCCGGGGCTGGTACACCGCAACGTGGTGCACAAGAACAAGAGGTGAAGGTGAATGGTAAGGCCGGGCTTTACCCGGGCATGATGCTTGGGTTCGGCATTGTCAGCGACATAAGCACAAAGATGAGAACAGGTACAGTGGCTGACCACGCGATCGGAGGCTTCACATGCGGCGGCAAAGAGATGGCCCACACGTATATTCGTAAACGAGAATTTAGCACTTGTCTGCGAGGGGAATGTTGTTGAACATCACACAATAAAACACAAGAGACGCAAAAGAACACATTAGGTGTTTTAGTTAGAAGTGCCGAAAAAACAATTTTGCCACACCCTTGCGGCTGGGCGAGCATATGTGTGGTGTGCAAACAACAAAATATTGGATTATGCTACCTTGGAGTCCTCTGTTTGATGTGGGGGCCTTGAGTTCTTAACGGTCCACAGGAATGGGACCCAGACATTCGCAGCTTTTTGCACAGTTCCGAGATGTTGATTATTTAGCTCTGGTTGTTGTCGTGTTTGAGGGCTCTTGGATTCTCGGGCTTCGTTGAATTTGTGTGTGGTGTTTGCTTAGGATATTCTTTGAGACTGTTTAGGACTTCTAGGATTCAGGCTTTCGTTTTGGTTCTGTGTTTCGGCGCTTTCAGGTGTAGGGTTTACGAAACGATCGAGGTTTTGGTGCCTCGGGGTTTCATGGGTTTCAGGCTTGGGGTTTGCGTAAGGCCGGTATAGGTTTTTTCGAGTTCTCCTATCGTGTCAGATGAGCTGAGGTTTTGCAG